TGCATGCTATTTTGGAAACCTTTAGCTGAGCTAATCAAGATAGTGCCTCTATGGATCATGTGCTCTGTAATTAACACAAGATTAGTTGCATTAGAATGTAGATACCTCTATTTGCATTAAACATTTGAATCAATAAAATCAAGGTAAAGATGAAACCAAACTGAGCGACCAGGACACATCCAGGTTGTTTGCTTGGCAAAAACATGGAAGTGGCTTGCAATTGCTGTCTTCCAAAATGCTTTTTCCACTTCTTGTTCTAACCCACCGCCCGCACTTTCTGGTGACCCCCGTTCAAGTCCTAAACAGGCTTGATCCTGCTTAGCTTCTAAGTTCAAACAAGATCGCAGTGATTGCACATTATGTGTGTAGATCAAGACAAGAACCCAGTTGTGGTAGTTCAATCCAAGATCTACCCTTCTGCATGTATGTACGCCGTGGTGGGGCTTCAATTGCCCTGCTCTGACTTCTGCCATCTTGCTGGGTTGGGCGACCCCCATGAACACCACTGGAGGCAGATGTCATACATTATATCTAAACGTTGCAGTTACGTTCCTTGACTCAGCCCAGCTTTACAAAAAGATGGTTTAGTTTGAGCTGGGAAGGGTGGGATGGATGGGGAGAAGTGCAGATGATAAATTCGTTCCCTTGCTGCTGAGAAGAAGACCAGAAAATACGTTATTGCTTCACTGGTCTGTCTCGGAAGGTGGCGGCATGTTGTCATGTTTGGGCTGGGAAGATAATAATGGCTAATTCCTGGACGGAGATGGCCAGGATATCCCACAGCTGTAGGCAAAACTGGGAAATTAAGAAAAAAAAAGAAATGAAAGAAGCCAGTGGCTTGTGCATAAAGTTACCAGGAGTCCCGGTTAACTGGCATGAGGTTGGAAAATGAATAATAACCCTGGTTAAATTTGCAAAATGCTGTCAAGCGCCTGGAGCATTGCTTCGGGTGTTATCTTCAAGTGTCCCCATTTCTTCCAGTCCAAAGAGCTGGATTTCAGTCTCATGCAGGGCTTTAAAAAGGGGAAATGAGATTCTCGTGTTGCCGAATAAGCAGCCGGTGTGCTTTACAGCAAAACAGCAGCCTCTTTCTTTCAAGAATACCTCTCGGGGTTTAGAAGAACAGATATAATGTTCTGAGGCACCTTACTCCTAAGAGGTGGGGAGGGGGGCTGATTTCGCTGGTCCTGTGCCTCGGTGCTCCAGAACCAGGAAGGGTTGCCATAAAAATGATGTGATTTCGCTTGAGAGTTGAGTGGGAGCAGTGGAAAACAGCAAGCACTGCTCATGTAAACACAGCCAAAGTCTTGAACATCCACAGTTAGAATGGTCAAATCAGTCAATATTAAGATTTCATCTGCAGAGAACATAATACCTTTAAAAATACATCTCTCTCTCTCTTACTCTCTGTATGTATGTATGTATTATGAGAGGCAGTGCGGTGTAGTGGTGAAAGCGCTGGACTAAAACTGAGGAGACCCAGCTAATCTAATCCTCTCTTAGACCCAGAAGCCATCTGGGTGACTTTGGGCCAGTCCCTCCCTCTCAGCCCTAGACTGGGAAGTTAAAAAACATCTATCTATCAATCTGCCCTAGCATAACAAAGAAGCCTTCATCCTGCAATGGGATTCAGGCTGATGATGACGACGATGACGATGACGATGACGATGACGATGACGATGACGATAATAATAATAATAATAATAATAATAATAATAATAATAATAATAATAACACCACCACCACCAATTACGCACACACAAAAGAGAAAATGGGAGCTAAAGGCCACCTTAAGCGCCTGTGCTTCCACCCACCTTCTTGGTGAGGACACAGACTTGCTCCATGGGCAAGTAATCCAGAGTGAATATAAATCGCCAGTTGAAGTTGCCTTCTCCTGCCAGGGACCTATAATGGACATCTGTTCTCTGCTTGTCCTCTTCCAGGCCATCCAGCCATCTGGGACCAAAGCAAAGGAGAAGCACAGAAATATTTTTAGTCAACTCAAAATTGGGGACCCATTTTGTGAATGGTGCATTATGCAGTTGGGTTGGACTTTTGGCCAAGAGGTGTAGACAGGAGCAAAAGTGGCAGGTGTCCATTGACACACTGCTGGGACTTAGGTTGTGTGGAAATGCACTAAGGGACTTGGTGGTGGTGGAAATGAAGCTCCTGTCAATGATTGGCTTGGGTCTCCATCTCTTACAGAAGAGTTTCTGGTTTTGGATTGTGGGATAAACAAAGGAAGAGGAATAGAAGTAGGAATCCAGGAATGGCTGTCAGGGGATGCAAAGAAGAGGGCAAGCAGAACTGAGACCTTAGCTGAAGGAAAGGTAAGAATGGAAAAAAGAGAGGGCCAGAGTGTTGGTTCTACATGAGCCTTCCCTGTATCTCCTCTCCCCTCTCAGATGCTCAAGAAATGGGAAGAGTTATGTCACATATTGTTTCAGAAGAAACCAGCCAACTTTGGGACTGAAGATCTCTCACTTGTGTTATGTTACTGCTTTTGAATATTGTGGAGCCACTTTCTTTCATCGGAGGAAAAAAATCACATACCATTATGAATGGAGAATGGATTCCTTATATAAATGCAACTGTTTGGGGATTACCAAATGAAAGCCTAAAAAGTAAATCCACCTTGGACCTGCAGTTGATCTTCTACCAGCTCCCTTGTTGGGAACTTGACTCTGCAATTCCCCACGAACATCATTTATCTCATACCCTTTCACATAGATGTCACTCATCTTGTCTCCAAAGATATTGGTGTCTTCTAGATCCACATCTTTTGTATTCCAAATGATGCAGCGAAGTTCATATCTAGAGAGAAGAGAAGCCATGGCTTGAAGAGACAACCGTCCTACTTTATTTATAGTTTATCTTTCCTCTAGAAACTCCCAATTTTTCTCCCAACAACAACTCTGAGAGGTTGGTTGTGCTGAGAGAGGTTGACTGGTCCAGTGTCCCCAGTGAAGCTCTATGGTTGAGAGTGAACTTGAACCTGGACCTTCCCACTCCTAGCCCAACAGGCTCAGCACTACCCCCCTCTGGCTCTTGACAGAGCAAGTGATCCAGAGTCCCCCCTGGGAGCTTTTGTGGCTGAGGAGGGACTAGAACCTGGGTCTCCCCATTCCTTGTCCAGCCCCTTCCTCTTTAGACCACAATGACCCTTGGGCTAGGAGGGAGGGTCTGGCCCAAAGTCATCCAGGGAGTTTCTGAGGACTTGGAACCCAGGTCTCATCAGCCCTCATCTGACACCTTCACTACTTCAACACACTGACTGGGTAGCTGTGATTTATTTAGTTTTAGGAAAAGCATCTTTACACAAATTGGCAGCACCTACTTTTTGGGCTTTCGTGGGGTGATATCAAAAGGAGGTCCTGGGTCACCCAAGGATAGTGGGAAGATGTCCACCCACATCTGCACTTTACCCTGGATAGGAGAGAGGCATGGGATTTATAAGATAATATTCACAATGACAGATTGGCCAGGCAGGAACTAGGTCTCCTTGTCAGGGGTGTCCACAGGAGGACTCAAAAAAGTCAAGATGGCAGCCTGGAGAATACAATCAAAATCACACTCCTTTTTGCATGCATTGGGCATGCAATGCCTGTAAAAAACGGTGGGCCTTCAACCAAGCAGTTGTGGTTACCATCTGGACACCTCTGCTTCTTGTCTGTGTCCACAGAGGGGAGAAAACTCAAAAAGGATCTGATTTAATTGATCACATCCTGGAAACTTTTGTGGCTCTGTGAAATCCAGTTATTCATTTAATAGAATAGTTATATCCTTCCTTTCTGTCTGAAAATCCTCAAAGACCAAACTGCCTTCAAAACCCAACAAACAGAAATGAATAAAATAGCCATCTAAAGAAGGCTTCTAAGCCTATCTCACATCGCCTTTTGTCCTCGGGGAATTTTTAAAAAATGTAGATACCCCACTGGCTTCTCCAGCTGAGCTTCCATTTACAGCTCAGGTTAAAAGTGTTCACAAAGGGAAATGTTGGGGGTTTTTATGGGTTTAAATGACTGCTTTCTATCGGCAGAAAGGAAGAATATGATCTGAAATAAATAATAAACACAAGAGACCTGAAACAAAATGGCTTCTCTCTGGGATTCTAATTCCCATTTCACTATCCCCACATTTGTTTCCTACAGACGATGTTTTAGGATCTTTTAGCCACTTCAGATCTTTTCTTTTCTTGAAGATTTTGTGGGCTCCTCAAACTCTTGTCTATAGATAGCGTCACTGTTTTTATATTAGTTATAGGCCAGAACGAATTCATTATTAGCATGTATGAAAATGTGCAAACCATTTTGTGATTAAAACGTTCTGATCTTGCAATTGTGACCTCTAAACAGGCCACGTCAAGCGTGTCATCTTTGCCATCCCAATGTAGCCCCATTCAAGGTTGGAAAATTTCAACCACAAAATGTTTTGCACATCTAGAGTAGCAGTTTCTGTTTTAGTGATTTCTAGATGGGTTGGGAGTGCAAATTGTACAAATTTAGAGTTGTAACCCAAAGACATCTGGAGACCACCAAATTGTGGAGTGCTGCTGTAGAAGATAAATAAATGTGTCATGTGAACACTTAGATGTTCTAACTTCCCAACCTCTGAGAAGCAGCAAAATTATAGGATTAGGTGTGGGGTGACAAGAATCTTACCCAATCCTGGGAGTGTCTTAATGAGGCTCCCTGGGTTACTGCCAGTTTTACCATCTATCCTTGGATTATATTTATTTTCTATTTATATAGGATTATTTTATATTGTAATTTTAATTTATTTTAACTGCTTTGTAAACTGCCCAGAGTTGTTTTTTAATGAGATGGGCAGTGACAAATTTGATGTATAAATATATATAAATTGCAATATTTTTTCCCCTCCCTGGACTGCCTGATTCTCTTTCTATCAGCCACCAAGCATAGCTTGAAAATCTGAATGCTAGGTTAAGAGTTACTTGGTCAATTCCAGGTAGAGCTGAGCTGTAGAGGGTCCGAGTTTCTATGTGTTCAGGGACCAGTCCACATGTCCGGAGAAGGTAGAGTGCCATACGTTCTTTTGCAGGTCCCAGGAATCCATGGGAAGGTACTTTGGTCTCTGAAGGAATGAAGGATCAGATGAAATTCCATCAGACTGAACCCAAAGCTTTGAGCAGGCAAGAAAGGTTTTTATTATTATAGCTTTAAAAGTGGGGAAAAAAGGAAGAATCTAAACTGAAAATGTCTGATGTGTGTTTGAGTGAAAGTGAGGAGTGCAGAGTCCCGAGACATGGTTCATTCTCTCTCACTCTGGCCAGGAGAAGAGTGATAGATGGAGAAACCCTACCACTTCCTCAGCAGTTCCTGTTAACTGACTTCCTGCAGGCTTCTTGATAGCTTTCTTCCCTGGGTTCGCAATGGTAAAAGGAGGCACTGAATTTGCCCTGAGATAGCTCGTTTCCAACCTCTGTTCTACTTCCAAGTGGTTTTCTTAATATAATTTTATTAAAAGTTTTAACAGCAATAATAAGAACTAATGCAAACTAAATTAGAACAGAGAAAACAAGAAAGAAAGACAGAAATAACAGAAAAAGCTAAAAGTGCAATAAGAAAAGAAAAGAGAAATACATAAAGGTATAAAGAAGTGGCTTCTGATCTTCACAGCAGTCATAAGTACAATTATATTTTAACCTCTCTCTCTCTCAAGTTACATCACGACTCTCTTCTTTTTCTAATCTATCCTGTCTAATCCTCAAAACCATAAATCACCAACTCATTTTTTTCATTTTGACGCAAAAAGTCCATAAGCGGTTTCCAGTCACCAAGAAATGTAAATATTCTCCTTTATCTAATCAGTTTGTCCATCTCAGCAAGTTCTGTCTGTTTCACTCACCATTTCGCCATAGTGGGCAGTACCAAATCTTTCCATCTCCACTTCCAAGGTGGGATGGAGATGCCCTTCTTGAGTGGGCAGAAAATGACACCACAAAATTAGTGGTCCGCAGCGCTGATTCCTACCCTGCCTTGGATTGTTCTCAGCCCCTGCGAGTCCTCGCATTTCCCTCCTAGTGGCAAAGCCTAACCGAGTATCAGAATAAAGTGGAAACCTCCTTCCAGTTCTGCTAAGAACAACTTTAGCCCATCTCATTTGAGGGCAGGGGATGAGATGAAGGCCATGTCATGGGGATGTGGCTTCTGTCCTGCACAGATAAAAAGGTGAAAACACCTCCAGTCAAGCTCACTCTTGGTGACATGAAAACTTTTTGGACTTTCTTCTTCTTTTTTAAATTAATAATAATTTTATTAGAGTTTACAAGTACAAAGATAAAAGACTTAATACAAACCAGAGAAAATATAAAAAGATAAGAAAAAGAGAAGTGCAAAGAGATAGAAAAAAGGAAAAGAAGAAAAGAAAAAGAGACTATATAAAAGATGACTCCTCCATCCCTCCCTCCGGACAAGTAAAAACAATTTCAGTAACTTAACACCTTCTCTAGTATTTTAATAAAAAGAGAGAAAGAAAATCTCTTCTTCCCACATCTCGTCCTTTATCAATAATCCAAGTATAAAACTCATGATTCAATCCTAATCAGCAAAAGTCTATTAAGAGCTGCCCAGAATAATAACTATCTATTTTAACCTTAATCAAAAAAATCCATTTTGTAACCCAACTTATCACTTTCTCTAAGAAGTAAAGCAAAAGAAGTTTCTCCCTGGATTTTCTTCTTAATGATGGATATAAAACGTTCTGCCATGAATTCCATTTGAAGTGAATTTGGGCATTTTGCTCCTACTGAACTTTGGTCGGGGACTCTGATTAGCATTTTCACAATTAAAAAATTAAATCACAATAAAAAAAAAAATCACCCTCACAAAAATCACATCCCCCCCGTATCCCTCCTACGTTTCATGGAAATTGTGGCTGGGCAGATCCTAAAGGCTCTTACCAAAGTCGGAGAGGTGATAAGTTCTACCCATAAAAATGGCTGTGCTTCCATCTTCACTTATCTCTGACTGAGGCAAGTTTGTGGCCTGAGAATAATTTTCCAACAGTTCACTTGGAAGAAGCTGATCTCTCCACTGGGTGGGGCCAGCCCTGCAAGAGAGAGAAGAGGTCCTGGGGTGAAGCAATTTTCAGAAAAAGTGTGCTTTTTCCTGGTGGATGAAAGCAACCTGAACTTGAAAAGTTGGGAAGATGTTCCTGGGAACTTCTGGGAGATGATCCCCAAACATCTGGAAGATGCTAGGATGAGGAAGATTGGATTAGCCATACCTAGCCCTTAGTACTTACACACAGTAAGTCTGTGGCAGCCCACAGTTGGCCCCATAATGGGACAAGAGTCGGTTCTCCAGGTCCACGGTGGTGTCCCCAATTAGGTCATCAGGTGAAAAGAGGTCAAAGTCATATAACGAGATCTTCAAGTCCTTTTCTAGTGGGATGGAGCATGTGAGTTCATATATTCTTTGGAGATCAGAAAAAGAGAAGTAGTAAGTCCCTGATTCCCATCCATTGTGGTATCCTCACTCCCAGAATTCATTGTAAGAATAGGCTCTTGGGCTATAATATCTGGGAATTTTGGAAGCTGTGGCCCTAACCCAATAGTCTTGAACGTTGCCATGTTGGAGAAAGCTGGAGCAACCGTTGTGTGCCTTGCTCATGGAGCCAGTAACTTAGGACTGTTGTATAAGTAGTTCATTATAAAAATAAGTTGCACAGTGCCCCATGTGCAGTGTTTAGCTAAGAAACACTGTAACCAGGGGGGTCCCTGGGGAGGCTAAAAAAGTCAAGATGGTGGCTTTGTTCTCTTGGTTGCAGCCACCATCTTGACTTTCTTGACCCTCCCCTCCTGGGGATGCCCCCCAATTGCAAAACAGCTTTCCTGAGTCTGGTGTCTTCCAAATGTGTTGAGTCCACAACTTCTAACATTCCTAGCCAGCATAGCCTGGTGCCCCAGTGGCTGGTGTAATGGTGGCTGAGGAATTCTGGGTGTTACAGTCCCCACCCCAACTGGACAGTGTCTAGTTGGGAAAGACCTTCTGCAACACGGTTACAAAAAGTCCCTGGCTCCTGATGGGAACGTTTCAGACTCAGGAGCTCAGCTGTGCTGTTTGGAGCTGGTGCAAGTGGGTGTGACTTGGGAGGGGTGAGCAGGGTAAAAAAAGGATCCTATACAGTATTTGGGCTGGGGTCATGCAAGCTGCCTCATCAGGACAAGGATGCAGTAGCTACAGTCACACAACTTTTTTTCTATAGTTTTAATTAAATGCTTTAGAGAAAATACATAAACAGTACCATAAAAAAAAAAAAAATAGGTGGGGGAGGGAAAACCCCAGCAACAGGGCTGGAGATAGAGAATTGGAGAGCAAGATAGGATCAATGGTTAGTGGCAGTATAGATTCTGTTTTATTTCTTGTGTGTGTATGTGTATGTGCAAGTGTGCATGTTAGAATATATAGTATTTGCCCTTCCCTTCCCTTCCCTTCCCTTCCCTTCCCTTCCCTTCCCTTCCCTTCCCTTCCCTTCCCTTCCCTCTTCTCCAGATTTCTGACCTTGTTATGTAAAATACAGACTTAAATATTTAACTAGCAGTGTTTCTTCTGGGAAGGACATTGAGTTACGGAAGAGAGGGAGTTGGCTGAGAGGGAGTAGCAGAGAGGCTTTCTCTGGAGTAAAACAGCTGGTGGCAGCAGGTCTTGTGGGAAGATGGTAGGAGAATCAGCAGGAGCCAAGCCACCACATGCCAAGAAAGGTGTGCTTGGACTCAGTATATCTCCCAGTCCAGGAGATGTCTAAACTAGTCTGCATATATTATGGAGGTGAAGAAATGTGTATAGTGTGACTTTGCTAAACTGATATATACTGAACCACAAATTAGTGGACTTCCAGGGAAGAAATGTCAGACTGAAAATGGCTCCACGAAAAGCAGAGCTAACGACCATGGCGGAATGAAGAGCTGGTGAGTAGACCTGCTCTTCCTAATTCCTCTCTGGACAAGGAGAGGACTTGAGATCACCGACAAATGCTCCAGACAGTTGCTCCTTGCAGGAGACTGCAAGACAGTGGTCTCTGGTGGATTTAGACCTCTGGGAGAAAAGGGAATAGCCATCTTGCTCAAACCACTGTCAGCGCCTTTAAGGACACTGGATTTGCACATTTCCTTTTCTAATCACTTTTGGAAATTGCTTGTTAACTGCTTTTAGCAATTAGGAATCTTTGGATTGAAAATTTTAACAGCACCGGGTGAGTTTCCTTAGTGAAAGAAGTTTTAAATATAATTTTAAGGACTTAAAAAAAAATTTTTTTTTTGAATAAACAGTTACAAACAGTCTAAGGGTCCAGATGGATTTGACATAAGATTTTGGAATTAATTATAAGAATCCTTCCCATGGAAAAATGCTTTTGTTTTGAAATCTTTTTTTAAAAAGACATGATAGGATGAGACTTTGAAGGTTGGACACTAGAGGAAACCAAGAGGAAGTAAAGATTACAATTAAAGGAGAATAATATTTAAATTAGACTTACATATACAGAATGAAGGAAAATATTTTAACAATGGACATATTGAAGAATATTTTTGAACAATGGACCCAGAAGTTAATTTCAAGAGCATCTGCCTCTATAGATAGACTGTGTTTAAAAGATGTTATGGAAGAGGAAAAAGTTTTACCTGACAAGACTGAGACTGATCTGAAAGTGATTTAAAAATGACAGGCTGCAAGAGTGACATGGAAAAAGATGTTACACTGGACATATAAAATAAACCGGCTGATGTCTTAATAATTAAAACAGATATACAAATAAGAAACCAAGAGAGTGATCTGAATAATTTACCTATATTGGATTTACAAAAGAGGCTTGTTAAAGCTTTGAAGAATTTTGTGAGAAGGGATAAATTAAAAATGAAAATAAATCAAGTTCTAGGACATTATTCGAAGGGACCAAAGATCAAAATTGTTAGAAGTAAATGGAAGTAATATAAAATTGGTTTATTTGATCAAGGTTAAGATAGCTAGGTTGTTATATCTGGTAATCCTTATTGGACTTTTGCTGATCGGAACTGAATGACGAGGATTTAAGGATTTGTTTGTAGATAAGAGATGAGATATGGGAAGAAGAGATCATCTGTTGTATTTTAAGAAAAGGTGATAAGTTACTAAAATTGTTGATAATTGTGATGAAGTTGGGACTTCTTTACATACTTTTTTTCTTTTTCTTTCCTATATTTTTATTTTTTTCTTTCTTTTCTATTTCTATTTCTATTTCTCTTTCTATTTTTTCTCTTTCTTTTCTGCACCTTCTGCTTTTTGTTTTCTTAGTTTGTATTAGTTTTTACCATTGTAATTGTAATCTTTATAATATCACTATATAAAAAAGAACCACAAATTAATTAACCATGTTGGAGAGGAGCATGGGAATCTGTTCCATGTGGTGAGATTAAAATCCAGTGTATTGCACAATCACCAACTATGGTTAAGTTAATGACGGTTAAGCATGTGGCTTGAACATTGGTCAGCAGAGCAACAAAGACCCAACAGACAGTTTTCCATAACCAATTTGCTAGACTTGCCTTCCAAACACAGGGTCCAGGGTGTTGGGAATATACTCTTCTCTGTCATTCACCCTTTCTTTCCCTAGCTTGATCCTGACGAAGGGGTCGCACTGTAAAGGGAAGCAAAGGAAAATCTCTAGATTCTCTCCCCCCTGCCCTGTACTGTCCCCAGTCTGTCTGGGTGTATGCACTGATTCCCATAACAGTAGCTTAAAGTAGCAAGTAGAAGTTGGCAGATCCCAAGTCCTGACCTGTACATCATTGTCAGCCTTCCCTGGTAGACCAGACAGGAAACACAACTAGATGAGTTAATTCTACTTTACTGTAAGGCTACATTAACAGAATCTTGCAAGTCTGAAAGTACAATTCTCCCGCTATCTCCTTTACAACCCAATAACTTAGGGAGAGTCCCTCCCAAGCCTCTTGCTCTACCCATTATGTGGCTGTGGGCTATGCTCCCTCTTATCTGATGTTCCCTACACAGCATCTCTTCGCCCCATCTCCCAAGGTCATTCCCACATTCCATTGCAATCATCAACATATTGTTGATGAAGTGTGCTGGATTGTCTTCACAGCAAACGTTATTGGGAGAACAGTGACAACATTACTTTGAAACAACTATGGAGCTGCCTTGGCTGTGAGCTGGGGACAAGAGGAGGACAACCTTAGTGGGACCGCGTGGCACCTACTAACATCGGCAGGCAGAAGCACCCTTGGATGGGGGATAAAAAGGGGCAAGATGGTGACTGTGGCATCATAACTGAAGCCTTACCCTTTTTCGGACACATGTTGATGTTGCATGTGCAAAGGGGTGTGGCTTTGACTGCACTGGTATAGCCACTACCTTGCTTCTTTTGATACTCTCTCCCAAACACTAAAGTCCCAGGGCATCTTTGTGCTGTGGTTACTATACAGAGGTGTTGGGATGAACCCTATGTCTCTGCAGAGACTTTTTTCACTGGGGATTTAGTGGCACCAGAAAAATCTGACAACCACCCCAATTTTGCCCCTTGTCATAAGATGCTGCTCTAACTCAAGGTTTAAACGGTTACTATTTTTAAGTTTTGCAAAACACCTTGTGCCTTAGGGCTAGGGTATGTAAACTTCACTATGTTCCCTGCCCTTTAAGAGAATCGTATTCATATGACCAAACCAGCTTTGATCCTTATTAGCCATGGAAGAGGTACCTGTGTCTTAGGAGGGGTAGGTGGGAGATAGATGCTATTCACTAATTAACAGCCAACCAGTCCCTGAAAATATTTATTTGCTCATTGATTGGGACAAAGTGCAGAGAACTGAACTGATTGCAGTGGGATATAAAATGCAATAAATAAATAAATAAATAAATAAATAAATAAATAAATAAATAAATAAATAAGCAAGCTTAGCTAGATGCAACCAGGAGAAAAAATAGGATGGTGAGGATTGGATAATGCTGTAAAACTCTACAGAGGAAATAACTAATTTTTTGGAGTTTGATTTGGGAGTGGTCCCTGAAAATATTTATTTGCTCATTGATTGGGACAAAGTGCAGAGAACTGAACTGATTGCAGTGGGATATAAAATGCAATAAATAAATAAATAAATAAATAAATAAATAAATAAATAAATAAATAAATAAGCAAGCTTAGCTAGATGCAACCAGGAGAAAAAATAGGATGGTGAGGATTGGATAATGCTGTAAAACTCTACAGAGGAAATAACTAATTTTTTGGAGTTTGATTTGGGAGTGGGAACAAAAAGTCCATTTTTTGAGAGGAGCAAGCATCACTGGTGTCCAAAGGGTGGGGGTAGAAAAGACAAAACAGCAGTCATGGCTCCCCCTCCCCTTTGTATGCGAGTGCAATGTTGGCACATGTACAAAAGTGTGTGTGTGTGTGGAGCTTCAATTGCAGGGCTGTGATTGCCATTTCATCTTTTTTTGACCTCCCCAGATGGATGTTGGTGGCAAGCATGAACATCTTTGCTCTAAAAACAAGGGATCTGACCACTTTACCTTGACTCTCTCAACCAAGTGGCCTCTCTAGAAAAGAAGCTTTCTAGAACTGCAGAAAAACAGTGAAGAAAAGACGATTACCAATCCATTGAGGTCTTTTGGCTGGAGGTTAAAAGCTCGTATAATATAAACCCGGACCAGACAGTCCTGGGAGACGTTGTCAGGAAGCTCCTGGAACTGACGTGGTGGAGGTGGAATCTTGGGGTCTTCTGGCAAAGGATAGATCCGGAAAAGCCCCTGTAGAACAAGGTGGCAATCAGTGGAGGCTTCAAGAAGAACATTTCTTTCCTTGAAACAAACTGTCTTTCACCACGAGAAAACAAGTGAATGATATTTTCCCCTGACTTAAAGGTGCTGGAATTCAGCTTCCCATGGGGATATTAAAGAATTGGGAGATTTGTACAGATCAACATAAAAATGGAAAGCCCTTGATACATCACTAGCAGAAGGGTCTGATTTAGAGAAATCGGGAAGTATAGAAATCCAGATTTCCTGTGTGAATTTTCTCAGGCTTTTGCCAGAGAGGGGAGTCAGGGTCCAGTTTTCACCTTAAATTCGCCCCCCACCACAGGGTCATCATCTTGGACTTTTCCTCGGTACAGCCGAAAAGTCTGACAGAAATCCTGGAAACCTTGGAATTCGGGAACTTCTTCCAGCTTACAGTTATAGATCTAGGAGCAAATTATAAACATTCAGTAGGAATATCCTTTATTTTCTCTTTATGTGTTTGTATGATCTTTATTCTGTATTCTAAGCTTCTATTACTCACTGGCCAGAAAATGGTCAACATATGGAACAAGCTAAGGTAGCTAAAGAATAGAACTAGGACAGATACCATCACCATGAAATATAAAAGATGGAAACATAGTGTTGGAAATGTAGATTCCTTGACAAAGGGCTCTCTGGAATCTCCTAATCCCCTTTTGTCTACTCGGTCATAAGAAAACATAAAAAAGGTATGTCTCTGTCAGGTTCAGCCCAAAGAACTCCAAGAGACAATGCAAATACAGTTCTGTTGCATTTATTAGCTCCAACCTCAAG